AGGATATATTCAGATTCCACAAGTGTGTGATTTTTATGCACCTCTCCCCCCCCCCTGCATGAATGGCAATGAGGTCTTAGTGGAACCTCCAGGTTCAAAAACAGTCTCCCTCTGAATATCAGAGATGGGTAACACAGAGGAGGCACTACTGAGTGGAAATAAGGGGGCATTGCCAGGTTCCTAAATTCCATGCAGTAGATCAGGGATGAGTTTTGTCTGATGTGATTGCCTGTGGCACATTACATTATGCCGCTATTTAGCCTAGATCATATGGACATGATCCATCTAAAATTAAGCAAGTTTGCCCCATTGAGCAGGTTTAAATGAGACAAAAAGCATTTAACAGTGCAGTCCCAAAGCAAGTTACTTCCTTTTAAGCCCATTGCCAGGATTCCACTTTCAGAGGCGGTAGACCTCTGAATACTAGTGCCAAGAGGCAACATCAGAGGAAGGCCTCTGCCTCTATGCCCTCCAGAGTAACTGGCCACTGTGTGAGATAGGATGCTAGACTAGGTAGACCACTGGTTTGATCCAGCAGGGCTCCTCTTATATTCTTAAGATCACATTGCAATTTTAGCTGGATCATGTCCATATGTTTGTATTATGGACAGCTATGAATGTGTGGGGACAGGTGTAGAGTCTACAATTTTGCTTGGTGTATACCTGTTTAATTGACACCTTACTGCTACGCCTTTATGTAGGTACTAGAACTGTGAATGAAATTGCTGAGCGGTCGGGTTAGAACGGATAAAAGGAAGTACTTCTTCACCCAAAGAGTGATTAACACATGAAATTCACTGCCACAGGAAGTGGTGGCAGCTACAAGCATGGACGGCTTCAAAAGGGAATTAGATAAGCATATGGAGCAGAGGTCCAACAGTGGCTATTAGCCACAAGGTATAGATAGGGTCTCTGGGGCAAGTGATGCTCTGTCATCTTGGTGCTTGGGGGGGGGGGTCAACAGTGGTAGGGCTTCTAATGTCCTGGCCCCACTGGTGGACCTCCTGATGGCACCTCGTATTTCTGGCCACTGTGTGATACAGAGTGTTGGACTGGATGGGCCTTTGGCCTGATCCAACATTGGCGTCTCTTATGTTCTTATGTTCTTATGTGTGTTCCAGCTTGAGGGAACTGAAATTTAAAACTCTAATTTTGTGCAGTGAACAATAACATCTCTTGGCTGCTAAGGAAATTGAATCTACGGCCTTTCTTTTTGTAACGCCTGCTCTAAACTTATGGGAAAGTCACAAGCCATTTAAGTTAGATACATGAGCTGCACTTTATCATCATATTGTAAATATGTGATTGGAGGAGGGCGCTGTTTTGAATTGGCTTACCAAGATTGTATTATTCTTATTTAAGAGCTAAGCCATAAAGATGTCATTCCTAAACTGGGAGAGCAATTTTTCCCCCAAATCTGAAAGCAAGCACATTTCCTCCTATTCACGGGGATGTTGCTATATGCAAATGAGAGGTTTATTTAGTGTATGGATAAAACAAGTTTTTTTTTTTAAAGTCCTCATTCCTTCTAACATCTTAACAGCTGTGCAGTTTCTTACAAGATATGTTTTATCGTTTCAAGAAATGCTGTTAACCTCGCAGTTTTAAAACTGAATGAACAAGGCCTCTTGGACAAATTGAAAAACAAATGGTGGTACGACAAAGGAGAATGTGGCAGCGGGGGAGGTGACTCCAAGGTTAGCCTCAATGTCACCACAAGCGGGTAAACAGTATGTTGAGTAATTGGCACATCTGCTGGGACTTTTTCTCCCCCCCCCCCCCCCGATCATGTCTCGTGGCACTTCTGATAAGTGCAAAAAGCAAAGTCCAAATGTATGCAATTACTGTCAAAGCAAAAATATTTGCATTCTCAGGAGTCCGTCAAGCCGGACTGATTAGCACGGGAGTCCAAATTGTGGGTTTCTTGTCTTATTCTTCTCGTATGTCTTCAAAAACTCGCTTTTCCTTTTTTTAAAAAAATCTTCTTCCAGAACAAAGATTTCACTCCAAAGGCAATAGGAGCAGAAGACTAGTTTGCTGCAGAGGTTAGCGAGTCGGGTTCAGAATCTGGAAGATTTGTCGTGGAATTTACTGGATGACTCGGGACCAGCTTCCACACATGCTAAATGATGCAGTTTCAATCCACTTCAGTGACTGTTTGCGAGTGGATTTTGCCATTTCACACAGTAAAATCCAGTAGCAAAGTGCATTGAAAGTGGATTGAAAGTGCGTTATTCAGTGTGTGTGAAAGCGTACTACACAATCAATTTCTCTCTCAGCCTAGCCTATCTTACAGGGTGGTTGTAAGGACAAAATAAAGGAGGAATGATGTACAACCAAAACAGAAAGGGGAAGAAAAACAACTTCAGCCCAGAAAAACCAGGTAACTAAGAAGGTTGGCAAAAGGCCTACTAACAGAATAAATATTAATGGGTTACATGAGCCACAAAGGGCTTTACAATCTGCCAACCAACATCTTCTGGGGGTCCCCGGCCCCAGGGACATCCGTCTCGCCTCGACCAGGGCCAGGGCCTTTTCAGCCCTGGCCCCTACCCGGTGGAACGAGCTCCCATATGAGATCAGGGCCCTGCAGGACCTTTTACAGGTGGACATCCCTCCCTCTGTACTGGGCCTCCCCTCAGTGGGTCAGAACTGTATTACCATCCAAGAACCAAAACTTAAAAGCGATGGCATCTGTGAGGCTTTAACTATAATTTGGACTGGATGAATGTTGTTGTATTTTATTGGTGTTTTAGCTGTTGTGATTTTCTTGTTTGCTGTATATTGTTTATTATGTCTGATGGAACCCACCTTGAGCCTGCTATGCAGGGAGGGCAGGATATAAATCCAATAAAATAAATAAATAAAAATAAACATATGTTAAACTAACAAAGCTTTAATGCATAACAAGTAGTAAAAAATTCCATTAAAACCAAACGTGAACAAGGCCTCTTAAACAAACTGAAGTGTCTAAAGTGTTGAAGAAATAACTTATGCCAGAGCTGAAGCCCCTGTCCTTACAAATTTACAATTCCCAGGAATGTGTGTGTGTGTGTGTGGAGAGAATAGCCATAATAATAAACCCACTTTCCTACTCTTTAAAATTTGCATGCTGTTATAAAGCATTTTTTTTTAATTTAAGACAAAACCATTTGAACTTAGAATCAGCAACACAAGCCTTCAGGGCCAAATCCGACCCCTTGGAAAGCACCAACCAACTCTTCCACCTATCATCCCAGCGACAACAGCATTGCATACAAGGAGTGGTAGCTGTAGCGATGGGACTTGCTGTTTGCTCAAGTTAAAGTGTTGCCAGTGTGGTGTTAGACCTCACCCTTTGGCCTCCCTAACAGAAGATCTGAGCCAAGCTTTTGCCTTAGGTGTTACCTTTGCTGTGTCATAATTTTTTATCTATCCAGTACATTTTTATGCCACTGTTCTTCCCTCCACAACAACCCCGGTGAGGTAGGTCAGCCTGAGAGACAGTGACAGCATCGGGCTGAAGGTCTTCCGGTGAGCTTCACGGCTGAGGATGGGGTAGACTGATAGGCTCGGGATACTCAAGTGGATCCTGTCCATCATGAAGGGAGCAATGCTTGTACAAGCAGACTTTCCCAGTCTCCTTTCTCCCACTGCACCCTGTACTGAGTGACTGCCAAAATTGTGCCCTCTTGGTGGCACTGGACCCTGAGAACAGCAGGGTGGGGGCAAACTGAGGGTTTGGACACAACACACATCCTCTTTTTGCTGTCGGGAGGGGAAAAAACCTTCTACCACCAAGGTTAGGATCCAGCCCATTGTATTTAAAGTGTAACTTAGACATAGCTAAAAGTTATATGTACCATGGCTGCTAAAAAATGCAGAATTATGGGCGCCATCTGAAGACTATTAAATTAGGACTAACTGTTGATTTTAATATGCAATTTGATATTGTTTTAAACCTGTTGTAAATTGCCCAGAGCCTTGTGTACTCAGGGATTGGCCGAAAATAAAATAATTATTTTAAATAACATTTATTTATTTATTTTAAATAATAAAATTATTATTTTAAAAACATGGAGGCATAGCCATACTGTCATGCTCTAAGCATGTAGACATTGCCAAATTCCCTGACATTTTCTTGTGAGAAAGCATGGGTAGTTTTGCAGCCAAAGCTGTTTGAGGCTGATGCACAGTTTTATTGCAGCCTTACTGTGAGAACAAGAATGGGGGATCTGATGCCTCCTTGCTTGTTCATCAAAGTGGAGAAAATAAGCAGAGCTTTGGTAATTCCGACCAAAGGCCCATCTCGTCCGGGCACTGTGGCCAACCTAATGCCTCTGGGAAGACCCCAAGTAGGACATCGAGACAATATTAACCTTTCTTTAGTAGCTGGCATTCAAAGGTACACTGCCTCCAGACATGAAAGTCGTATGCAGCTATTATGGCTAATAGCCCTTGGTAAACCATGCAGTAGCCTAGCTTTTAAGGACATCGAAGCTAGTGGCCAGACTATAGTCATAGTCCTAGATCTGGAAGGAGCCAACTAGTCCAACCCCTGATGAAGGTAGGAAATTGAAAGGTAGTGCAGACAGATGGCAATCCAGCCTCTGCTCTTCAGCACAGAACAGCCTCTTCCCCTTTTGAGGCAGTGAATTTCCTAAGTTACTTATGTGTTGTGTGAATCAAGGCTTTCTTACATCTATCTTCTGTAGTCTGACTGTCTTTTTACCAAGCAGACATCCACAACCATTGTTCACGCCTACGTAAGCCAATAGTTTTGGGTTCACAGTAATTGCACACGCCTTGTTCAACGCTTTCCCCAGCAGTATGTGCCCGTTACCTGAAGCGATGGAGCAGGTCCCAGTTGTATGTCTGTCTCTAACCCTGGGCCAACCGTACATGACATAACAGCCACTGTGGCCTCCGCTCCGTCACTTTGCAATGCGATTCTATGTAGTTTGACTTGAATAACATAAAATAACATATATAATGTTATTTATGTTATTTTCCACGTGAAGAACTCCTGTAAACCTTGCCGTTTTGAAACTCAGTGAGGCAGGCGTCTTAGACAAGCTGAAAAACAAATGGTGGTACGATAAAGGTGAATGTGGACCCAAGGACTCTGGAAGTAAGGTCAGTCGCTGCAGTTCGGGACCTAATATTGTGGTAACAAGGGAGTAATGGTCACCTAGGGATGCTTATCAATAAGCTGTTTAATGACGGTCATTGTAGTAGACAACTTGAGCTTTCCTTCCCAGCCCTAAGCAGAAAAGTAAATATATTTGTTTGAAGTTATAAAAAAAGCATCCCTAAAAATGTATCCCATCCATAACACAATTTAATGCTTCATCCCCGCAATGAATCAAATACAGAACTCTAAGAATGTCTGTGGAGGGTGTTCAGGTTCATACTTGGCAAAGGTGTCGAGAGCACAGAGGGGCCACCACTGTGATGCACCCGTTGAGTACATAATTCTAGATGCCCTCTTCTTCTGGATTAGGACCACTTACAGTCAAAGGTGTTGATGACTGCCCTTAGCAATAGCCCTGAGATCAACTAAACTATTGTATTATATATTAAAGGCAGCTCTGTGTCCAGGATGACTCTCTCTCTCACTAGTTAACTGTGGTAACACTATCGTGACACACTTATAATTGCCAAAAATATAGTTTCAGAGGGCAGCCATTTTGGTCTGCAGTAGAAGAGCTAGATTTTAGTCCAGGAACACCTTAGAGACCAACAAGATTTTGGGGGTATCAGCTTCTGAGAGTCAAAAGTCCCTTCATCAAGAAGAGTTCCTTCAAAGAGAGTAGGCAGTGCTTCCATGTTGAATGACCATATTGCCCTAACCCTTTTAATAATGAAGGAAGGCCTGCCCCACAGAAACTTAACCTTGAAAACATTTTATGAATCGTACAGGCTTTAAGGCCAATTATGACATTTCCCCTCCCCAGAGTGAGTCCATGAGAAAACACTTCTTCATGGTGACAACTCCATCATCTTGGTTATCTGGTTCTTGCCTAGCTGAATATTCAATAGTACCTCTTCAAATTAAACTGTTATACTAAACATACTGGGTAATCTCCATGCCGGTGAAATTCAGTTTAGAATAAGAACACTGGCAACTTTTGTTTTAAAATATGTATATAACTCATGGCATTGCTTTCTTAATGTCCAGTACAATGCCAAATCCTGACATTTTGTTTAGCCCAAGGAATTATGATAAAACACAATCTAGACATATCTTCTTGATATCCTGAAATGTCAAATGTGCAACTAGATGCCCAAACAGTAAAGTCTTGCAACACAAGGCACTCACTATCAAAAAGGCACTATCACTACTTATTAAAAATACTTATTTGTAAAACAAAGATTCACTTATCTAACTTTATTTTGGATTATCAAATAGTAAGATATGATTGTTGTTGTTGTCAATGTTATTATTAACCTAGTAACCCACAGTGACATAAAGAGTGTACTTTTTAAAGAGGACAGCATACCCAGGGAAAATTAGGTGTGTTAAAGTTCCTGAAGTTCCAAGTGGTCCTAATCCAGAGAGTGCTGTTACATTTCTGTATGGATTTGTACTTAAGCAACAAGGCACTCCTCCCGATTTTCCCAACCTGCAAGTCTATCTCCCACTTCACTGCCCACATCCCAAGTAGTTGTATAAATTCAGGGGGATTTGCTTTGTGGTAGGAAGTGAGATGGTTGCCATTTATGAAAAAGACACTGTGCTAGATCCAGAGACACTTTTCCATTAAGCCTTCCCTGCAACAGAGGAAGTTTTTCTCTGGCAAAGGAAGTATTACAGAAAGGAGTCATTGGATATGACTCATTGTGCCCTGCAGGTATTCTGGAGGAGGCACAGTGGCTTTCACGTGATGTCAGTGTGATTTAAATGCCATCCACAGGGCAGTCCTGAATAGAGTGACACCCTTCGAAGCCCATTGACTTCAACGGACTTAGCAGGGTGTAATTCTGCTTAAGATTGTTCTGGAAGTCTGCTATTTAACTAAACCAGGTCCAGTTAATGCACGTAGTATGAAAGGAACCCCACCAGAGATAACTGATTTTCAGGAAGCACTTTAAGGATCTTCTAACATCCCCCACGCTCAGGTCACCGTTAAATGTCAGTCCTGAGAGCCAAAATAGATAAGCTTTATTGATGCCGCAGTTAATAGTGGCAACCTGTTTAACAGCTATTCATTACCAAGGGACAAATTGCATCCTAAAGTATTGGTAAAGAACACATAATCTTTTGCAAGGAAGGGATGGCACCTTGTCTTTTTTTAAAAAAAAAATGTTTTTTGTTTATATGTCTGTCAATTCTGTAAACCCCGACAGGCCCGATTATCTCAAAGACGCTTGTCGGGGCTGTCTTTTTGTTGCTTCTACTTATTTCAAGGAAAACTGTTTACTCATCATGTCTGTGCTTTCTCGTATTGTAGTGTTTGTTTGCTTGCGCCTGTGCCCTGCGTCTGCATTTTAACGCCATCCCTTCTGTCTCCCCCAGGACAAGACGAGTGCCCTGAGTCTCAGCAACGTTGCCGGAGTCTTCTACATTCTGGTTGGAGGCCTGGGCTTGGCTATGCTGGTGGCTTTGATAGAGTTCTGTTACAAATCCAGGGCCGAAGCGAAGAGAATGAAGGTGGCAAAGAGTGCACAGACTTTTAACCCAACTTCCTCGCAGAATACCCAGAATTTAGCAACTTATAGAGAAGGTTACAACGTATATGGAACCGAGAGTGTTAAAATTTAGGGGTAGGACTTAGGGCCTACTAACAGTGAGTGGGTGATGCATCATCTTGTCATGCGGTGTTGTGACCTGTCTGTCCAGTGGTGGTAACTGCTTGCTTCTAAAGAGAGCTTCCTCTAAAAAAATAACTGGTTCCGTTAATTTTGGCTGCAGATGTTTAGTATATTTACTCATATGCTACTCATAGACATCTGCATTGCAGGGGGTCATATTTTTTTTTAAAAAAATAGTGCATAAATTTAAAAGTATATTTTTATACAATGGGGAGGTTATAAATTAACTTGGGTCTTTACACCTCTTTGAAATTTTAGATTTCACAGTCTAACTGTAGATTTAAAAAAAAAACAACGAAAGAATAAGACAATAAGATTTCCTGATAGAGCCACTGGAGGAAAAAGACAGCAGGTTTTTTAAAACATACATTTATAAATATATAAGTTTAAATAGACATACCAATATTTCATTTCACAAACCGATCAATTTTCAAAATTCATCCAGCTAATTAATTCTGAATTCTGAATACAGATATCAACACTTTCCCCCAGTCACTTACCAATGCACTTACCAATGCACTAATATCTTTTATAATCATTCTATCTCACTAATCTCAACATATTACCAATTTATTTTCCCCCTACAAAATGGCGACCTTTTCAGCCCGCTTAGGAACCCAGTCCCCGTAGAGGAAGGAAAGGGGTTCCCACAGGCAATGCAATTAGCTGCATGGGTCCCAATGTTCCCTTTAAGCTGTGGAGTCCTGTGAGCAAATATTCTCCTTTGTGAGCTGCTGGCATTAAAGTTGTGAGCAAGTGATTTGGACAAAACTGCCAATCTGCATGGGGGGAAATGGTGACCTTTTCAGCCCACATAGGAACCCAGTCCCGGTAGAGGAAGGAAAGGGGTTCCCACAGGTGGTGCAATTAGCTGCACGGGTCCCCCCCCCCCCAAAAAAAGCATGTACCATGTCTTTGAGCCATTGTAGAAACCCGTGAAGACAGCACCCAGGTAGTATCTCCAGTCTGCAAGTAATTTTCTCAAAATGTTGAAGGTGGTACAGCAGAGGACTTGTGGTGAACACAGTGCAGACTCATCCCACTTATTGCTTCTATGTAGATGGGTTTTACTGGCTTTATTAGTACTACCAGGAAATGTGCAAAACTTAATTGGCTGCAGACAGGAAGGGAAACATAAAAACTGAGTTTGCTCATCACCGTCAATAATGCTATCTACCATAACAGCTGCAACCCTCTTAAAAACTGTTGTCGCCCCTGCCCCCGCTGCATCATCAGGGCTTCAGGGCTAGCCCAATGGCACAAGCAACCTACCTAGTAGCTTTGAATGGTAGTACGTCTAGAGACGTTGGTGCCACCTCATGCAAGTCAGACCGTGTGTCCCAGGAACCCTTGCAATGTTGCAGAGGATTTAGTCCTCAAATTTCTACCCCGCCCTCCCAGCTGAAGCCGGCTCAAATGTCAAGATGTGGCTTCTTTGGGAAAGTGAAATGTCCTGGTGCCACACAGATCTTGGGCTGCAGTTCTGTACGTTGCTGCACCTGTAGAAAAGAGTAAGAGTCCAGGAGCACCTTAAAGACTAACAAAATATTTGGCAGGGGATGAGCTTTCTGAAGAAGCGAGCAGTGACTCACGAAAGCTCCTACCCTGCCACAAATGTTGTTAGTCTTTAAGGTGCCACTGGACTCTTACTCTTTTCTCCTGCTACAGACAAACACGCCTACCCCTCTTCATCTGTCTCCATAGCTGCACCTGCTTATCACTGATATCGTGACCTCACGTTACTATGTGCAGGAATGCAAATGAGACATTTAGTGCAGACCTCATGGCCTTGGGAACCAGCCACTGGATCTCGGGTCCCAATTCCACCGTAGCATTTGAACTCAGTCAGGTCAAGGATGCCCACCCGACAGCTATGGGGGAGCAGCTTTCCAAGGAAGCAGTCCCACACCTCTGCAGGCTGCATGGGAATGAGGAAGCTGGGCGGGCAGGACAGTAGTGTGGAGTTGGCACTTCCTCTGCAAGAAGGGCCAGTTCTTGGCAAAAGACCCAGGCAACAGCCCCATGCGCCTGGCAGCATCATTTACAGGTAGTTTGTAGCTATGTAGGATGAGCTCGTGGAGAGACGGATCCTGCCTCTGAAAGGGAGTCATTTTAGTTTACGAATCTAATAGGTGAAATGGCTCAACCATTCCAGTTTTTGACACGTTCCCGCCTTGGGGACCCTATTTTGATGGAAAGGCAGCATATAAATGTTTTAAATGAATAAGTGTTAGAGGCCAGTTCGTAGACATGCACGGCTAAGCTCCATGTCAGTGTAGTGGGAACAGAACACGTTCCCTCCCCCAACTCCCATGCACATCACACCACTGGATAGTTCATGCATAGGTTCAACTTAAGGCTGCCAGTTGCCTGGTGCTAGCAGGGAAACTCCTGCCAGCATTCAATGGAGTGGGGGGGGGGAGGCAGCGTTGCATAAGGCCACCTCACTTCCAGCTAGGAACCCAAAAGTGATGTTGCTACATCGCATAATGCTCTAGGAATTTCCCTGATCACTACTGTGACATCACATCCAGTTACGCCAATAGAAGTGGCCGGGGCTTTTTTTGTAGAAAAAGCCCAGCAGGAACTCATTAGCATAATAGGCCACACCCAGCAGCAGAAACTCAATAGCATATTAGGCCGCATTCCCATGTTGCCAGAAGTGTGCTCATCCAGCCATACCCACCTTTTGCTTCTTATTCTGTTTACCTTGTTTGTTGTCAAAACCCAGGGCCCTTTTGGTAGCAGGAACTCCTTTGCATGTTAGGCTACACACCCCTAATGTAGCCAATCCTAATGAGTTTCTGCTGTTGGGTGTGGCCTATTATGCTAATGAGTTCCTGCTGGGCGTGGCCAACTTGGGAGCCAGCCAGAACCCCGTTCCTGTGCGTTCCTGCCCAAAAATAGTCCTGGAAGTAGCATTAGGGTCTCACACGATGCTCTCTTGCTAGGTCTCTGCCCCCCCCCCCAAGTCTCCCACCAGTTGCCAGCACTGTGCTGGCAACACTACATCTCCTCCTCTTCACAGACTGGGAATCAAGATCATAGGAACTGGGCCAACCGGCGTGACTTTAATCTGTGCAGTGCAAAAGTATGAATTTCACCTCTCTGGGGTGCATTCTAAATACCTGAGAAAGTGAATGTCTCAACCAGCTCACAGTGTAAACCTCAGAGTAGCAATGTTGTTTAACCATATCCACGGAGATGGAAACTGCAACACCCTATGCAAACAGAACTTCGCTATCAGGAAATGTAACAGTTAAGCGGTGAAGCAGAACTTTTATTTTGCCACCTAGAAGAACGTGAAAGGAAAAGAACTATTTTTTTATGATGTTTATTTATTATTTATATAGCGCTGGAGCACACGGTGCTGCACAATAGGTGAAATGTGCCAGACAGATAACAGGCCCTTGTCCCAAGGAGGTTACAGTCTAAAGGCCCAGCCGATACAAAACAGAACAATACAATACAGAACAAACACAGCATGAAAAGAGAATGGTGTGTGGCCATTATGGCTGGAGCGCTCCAAGGAATTAGGTGGGTGTTCAGAAGGGGGGTGAAGGTGAGGGAGGGGGCTTGGTGCACATGGAATGGAACATTACTGGTTCTTTGGGAAAACAAGGTTGCACTTACCTGTAACTGTTGTTCATCGAGTGGTCTTCTGTGCAGGCACACATGGGATCTGCGCAGGCGCAGGCCGGCCTGCGCCTGCGCAGATCCCATGTGATCGAGTGGTCTCCTGCGCAGATCCCATGTGGGACTGCACAGAAGCCATGATGATGAACACTCTCACCCTTTATGCCAAAAAAAGGCCTGCCAGGAGCCCGGCTTCCAAAGACCTCTAGAAGAGTTTCAGTCATATAAGACAGGGATGGAGGTCTCAAGCTATAAAAAAAAATTATGTCTGCACAATGTCCCTCATTTTCTTCAGCTCACAGCGTGGCTCATTGGTGCGAGCGGCCAAAGGGTGTGTGTTTTTTAAAACACACACATTGAAAAAAGCCGTGCATTAGGCTACACAATTGGGTCATTCTGGGAGCGGGATAAAATGAAAAAGACACTACAAGTGTGCCTCTTAAGGATATAGGTCAGGGCACTGTGCCAATGGGCCGTGATCAGGCACCCAGGTTTGTAGGTAGCCCCCACCAGTTTCAATCAACAGGTTAAACATTCAAACTTGTCAATGGAATCTGCCTGCCAGAGTATACTCAGATCAGCTGTTACGTTCATTCTCCTGGACCACAAATTTTGGCTTTCATTTTAATCAAGTTTGTCTCTAAATCTTTACACTGGCAAACAGAAGCCTGGACATTTGCCTCCAGCAGCAGGAGGGGAGGCGGATTTGCCCCCGCACTCTGTGCAGCTCAATGTCCCCCCCCCCACGTCATCCCTAGTTTCTTTCCCCTCCAACCTTAATAACTCCTAATGCCTCACCTGCTGCATTCCTTCCCACCCCATGTGCTAGTCTCTGAAAAGCTTTGTTTTTTAAAAAAAATTAAAACCCTATCTTAGCCATGCAGATCTTGTTATCGAGGCACACAATGCGGTTCCATTAAAGGTGGCACTTTCCCCCTGGGCAGGAGCCTTCTGTTGATATGGCAGAAGAACTTCTTCTGACAGTGGGCACTCCTTGTACCAGAAGAAAGCACCACCATTCACAAAAATAGATTTGTGGGATCTGGCTTTATTAGTTGCAAAAAAAATGTTTTCAGGTGCTGCATATTCTTATTTGCACAACTGATGCCTTTTTCTTTGTGACAACTGTGCAGTCCCTGCCACTCTAGATTCCAAGGAGAGGGCAGCATTGCTCTTGAGAAATGGGGATAATCCTCAGCTGAT